ATAAGACCACCTTCTCATATTGTGATGAGATTCTACAAAAATACTTGTTTCACTTTCCCAAGCATGTCATCAAGGTTTTCACTAGTGAGCTAAATCTATGAAACATAAATATGATTTGCTAAGTTCTAGTTAGAACCAATAACTGAAAAAACATGACATATCAAAGGATATAATGATATATCAAAATTATATAAAGCATTACACAACCAGTTGTTTTTCATTAAATTAAATTCTGGGATATTTGAGCATGTAGTCAATTCTCTCTAGAATTCTTATTCACAGCCTTTAGCTTCCTTCCTATTCTCATGCATTCACCAGGCAAATATGCCTGTTTAATAAGATCAAACGGAGGCACCTTCAAGTAAAAGTCTACTGCAATTCAATACTGACAGTGTTGCTCTCCCACAGAAGTACCTTCCTCGTTCTCAGCTACAAATATTCCCAGCAAAAAACAGACTTTTAAGTGGTTTGTCAGCACCAATGATGTTGGTATTTCCTTTTCAAACATCCTCCCCCAATCTCTGCTCAAAGGAATTCTTCCATCAATTTTGAAAAAAATATGAATTGATATAAAGGAAAATGATCAAGAGGGTAGCATCCAGACATTAATGGTGTCAGTTTCCTTAGACAACTACAGTTATAACCAAAGACCATAACTGAAAACAGGAAACATATTCTAATCTGGTGCCTTCTAAGTGATTTTTATAAAGAACCAACCAATTAAACCAATATAGGACTACAAAGTGATACTTATGAAAGCAGTGTGATATTGGCACAATACAAAAACAATGAAAGGAAATAGAATACACTAGCAAGTTCAAAACTGGTCTGTGCATATGGTAATTTAGTATATAATAAAGGTGGCAGTATTACTGTAAGAAGCACAGAACATTTGGTTGTAAGGGATGAAGGGCCAGCATTCTCATTTATGAAACAAGAGAGTCATCAGATCTCTATGCCTCATATTCTATACAAGTAGATTTCATCTAAACTGAGGAATTAAACATATAAATCATAATAGACGAAAGTATAAAGAAAATATTTAATAATTTGGGGGGTAAGAAAAGGTTAGTAGACATCAAAAAAGGTAAGTTTTATGATATAAATATTTAAAATTTCTACAGGATGAAAGATATATTAAAAGATGGTATCAGAAACGGACAAAATATCAGCCGCAAAAAGAGAGTTAACCATTATTCAAATGAAAAAGTTATAATTAACAATTCAACAACCTCACTGCTAGCAGTCAAGGAAAGGCAAATTAAAACAGTGAAATGTAATTTTCACCAGAAAAGAATGACCAAAAAGAAATAATAAAATTTCTATTAGTGATGGTTTAGGAAATATAGTAATGGTGGTAGTAGAAACTGATACAGTCTTTTTGAAGAATGATCTGATGGCAGGTTTATGCTTTTAGTATACTTAGTAAGTCTACTTTTAGAAATCCTACAGAAATAATCACACAAGTGTGCAAATATATTATACTATTATATAGTATTACACACACACAATGATAGTGCTCAGTAAATACTAGCTATGTACCAAACATGGTTCTAAGAGCTCTATATAAGTCAATTAATTTAATCCTCACAACAACCCTCTAATATTAGGTCAGTTATTATCATCCTCATTTTGTAGATTAAGAGACCAAGGCACAGAGAGAAGGAACTTGCTCAAGGTCAGAGGTGAGACAAGGATTCAAACCCAGGTTCCAACTCCAATATTTGAGCTCTTAATCACACCCAAACTAGAATGTTTAGTTCAATATTGTTTATAAGAGCAAAATACTGTTGATAGCCAACTGTCCATGATAAGAGACCAGTAAAATAAAAAATAATCCATCCATCAGGTGGGAAAAAAAGATACATTAAATGTGAACAAACAAGTCACAAAAATAGTTTGGCAAGCTTTCATTTGTACCTTATAAACAACCTCTGGGTGTAGATTTGTATGTACATATACTGTTCTTTCGTTTAGGCCTTTGTCTAAAGAAATTAAACATCAAATAGCCAATACTGGTATCTTTGGGGGGAAATAGAATTAAGAAGGTGGAAAAGAGACTTTCACTATTTATTTTACATAGTACCATATGACGTTTCTCCAGGAAAAGCCCAGCCATAGTTAATATAACAAGAAAGGTTTATGGCATCCAATGTAACCTAGCAGCCAAGGAGAGTGGACTGAAGTGTACATGTGTGAACAATGATAACCTCACTGTACTAGTCAGTGGGGGACAGTAGACATTGAGTGAGCATATGTACTGTGGGATCATGGCACTCAAAATGACTGAGTAGAGCAACAAATCTGCATCAAATTTTGTGTTACACTTGATTAAACATTCCTCCACGGAAACTATTCAGATGATTTGGAAGTCCACAGCTATGGGTTTTTGGCAGCTTCTTCATGACAACGGGCATCACGTCTCATGCATTTTTTTTTTGCAAAACATCAAATCACCCAGGTGACTCAGCTTTCCTAGAGCTCATATTTGACACCCTGTGACTTCTGGCTTTTCCCCAAACTAAAATCATCTTTGAAAGGGAAGAGATTTCAGACCATATATGAGATTCAGGAAAATACAATAGGGCAGCTGATGACAATTGGGAGAACTGTGTGAGGTCTCAAGGTACCTACTTTGAAGGGGACAGGGGCTTTATTGGCCTATGTACAATGTTTCTTACAACCTGTAACTTCTTCAATAAATGTCTCTATTTTATATTTTTTAAAAGATTGTATTTATTTATTTTTAGAGAGAGGGGAAAGGAGGGAGAAAGAAGGAGAGAAACATCAATGTGTGGTGGCCTCTCATGCGCCTCCTACTGGGGACCTGGCCCACAACCCAGGCATATGCCCTAACTGGGAATTAAACCAGCCACCCTTTGGTTTGGAGGCTGGCACTCAATCCACTAAGCCACGCCAGCTAGCGCTCTATTTTTCACGTTACATAGCTGGATACCTTCTGGACAGACCTCGTATAAGGTGACTTCTTTTATAATTGGAGTGGCATTATTTTTAAATTAAAAACAAATTTAACAAGCAAACAAACAAGGAAGTAGACACAGGTTAGATAAGATGCTAATAAGACTGACACAACTGCATCTTACTCCCATATAAATCAGTTAAGGTTGCTATGCCATAGACCGAAGAACTCTAAACCTGGCCAATTGTTCCAACATTTTGACACTGATGACAATACAGCAAGACTGGCATATATTGCTGCAAGAGTGTTCAACCTCATTAATGAGAGTCAAACTTCTTGGGTTCAAGTGCAGCTCCACTATTTACTAGCTGTATGGTTTCAGGCAAGTCACTTAACCTCTCCATGTCTCATTTCCTCACTGTAACATATGGATAATAACATTTGCCTCATATATTTATTACCTGTAAAGTCCTTATAATAATACTTGCACAAAACTAATATATATTCCTTTTGTTGGATAAAAATAAATAACTTGAGAAAATACACAGATGTGTACATTCTGATGTTAAACTAAGAGCACTATCTCCCTATCAAAACACATTAGTAACCTTTCCAAGATACACTAAGTGCATCATACATAGTAAGGGTAGGTATTATTTTATAAAACTTTTTTAAGACTATAAAGACACATGTATAAATACTGCACCATAATGTGAAATGTATTTGTCATTGTCAAAAGTGTGTCAAAGCCACTGCACTGGAGCATACCAATGAGTGGCTTACAGCTTTGTCCTCTGCAGCCACATCCCGAGAACAAACCTCACCACATCAAGCTTGGGATCTTTCATCTAAAAGGGTTTCACAGTAAAGTTTTCAAACTTTAACATATACAGAAATGTCCTGCTTTAAAACAAGTTCAAAACGTTTTCTCCTCCCTAAAATATCTTTTCTATTATCTCTAGATTAAATCGATATACTATTAATATATTTTTAATTGGGACCAAGCCTCCCTACCCAAACCTCATCTTGATTTTAAGGCACCTTAATCCAAATTCTGATCTTTTGCAAGTTTATTTATTATTTTTAAAAAAATTCTGTCACTTCAATGGACAATACAAATAGCTAAGAAATTTTAATGCCCTGCCAAAAGAATCAATTTTATTACTTGTAGTAACTGTTTATAGAATAAAAGTGTAATACATTATAATTGATCTATTAAAGATAGGTATTTGAAATTAGGTTTATTTCAGTATATAAATCAACCATATTAGGCATATTTTAAGCCTGCCAGTCCTCAAAATATTTTTCCCAGTACACTGAGGCTAACACACTACTTTTCCCATATCATGTCCCATATAACCTATTTTAAATGAAGTAAATCATAGTCCAAAAAACCTCTCACCCACCCCTGACCAAAAAAGGGAGGGTTAGAATTAACTGAGACCCTTTTCTTAATATCTCTTGGACCCTTTTTACATTCCAGAAACAGTAATTTGCACATATAGTATAAATTCAATAAAGCCAATTTAGAAATTCTTCAGTTCAATCCCCTCATTAAAAAGATGATGAAATCTAGATCTAAAGAAGAAAAGTAACTCCCTCAGAGACACATGCTTTGGACTGAAATGATATATGATTATGGGACTGCTAACATCTTTTCATTGGCTGGAAAAAATAGCCTAAGATTATAAATATTAATTAACCACATACATTAAAACTGTATAACTGCAAGCAACTATTCCAACCCAACATACACTATTAAAAAAACTTACGTTTGTTAGCATGTCTTCTAGAACTTTTCAAATAATTACTTAAGGTATGTAAGTCTCATTTTACAGAAAAACAAGCTTAAGTCCAAAAGTATTACTCCTTATTACCACATTGAAGCTAAGGGTAAGATTCTTTAATGAATTAGCTAGTACTTAAAACAAAAGATCACAATTACCTACAAATTTTTATTATCTAATAAATTTTTACATTAATAAAGTTTCTCCTACTGTCATTTAAGGTAAATTTTGATCCAAAAGGAGAAATCATAATAAATTTATGAAAATCTAACTTTTTTTCCTCAGTCTCATACCTGTTGTTCATCCTCCATGATGTTACTAGCAAATTCAAATACTAGGTCGTTCTGTTGGACAACAGCAGCCATAATAAAACATTCCCCTTAGATCCACATGAGAAAAATTCCAAACAGGTTCAAGTATCAGGCAGCAGAATCCAGTGACGATTTGGGTTAAAAACAAAAGAAAACAAAAAACCCCAGCTAAGTCTGTGAAGTTACTGTACACCCAGGTTTTCTTCAGGAAGGGTGCTTCAGATTTTCATGGGTTCCCTAGGGAAGGTCTTCAAATTTTCTGATACTGTATTCAAACTGAGGCAATTTTTCTGACAATTTTCTTCTCTAGAACTTCTTGGCCTGAAAAACAAAAGTTTAAGTTAGTTACAAAAAAGCACTCATATCCACTTAGAATATAATAACTGAAATGAAGGGCAATGTCTCTAAAGTATCTTTGTTAATGTTTTCAAACAAAATCAACATAACTAATGAACACAGGTTTCTAAAAAAAAGTTAGATACATGTTTTCTCTGAAGATTTCATTCCTACTGAGATAAAACAATCACCTCTCATTACTGAAAATGAAGCCATTCTCCCGTCCCCCCCCAGTTAAAATACTGTTAAAGTACGGAATATTTAAAAATATACATCTATCCACCCAGCAATAACTAGGTTTGTAATTTCAGTAAAGGACATATAAACAATTTTCTTCTTTCCACTAACCCAGCAAACAACACATAGGAAATGCTATTCCATGAGTAATTTCATAATGTATATTTTTGCTTTAATAGAAACATTCAGACAGTATCCCCATTAACCCTAACATACAAGGATTTAAAAATCTAATACTTTTAAAGCTTAGTAAGCACTATTTATGAGCTTTTAAAAATAAGCAGGAGTTAAAGCCCACTCTTTCTGTTCTATAAAAAGTTTTCTGATAAGTATAATGCTTTACCATGCTTAAGTCTGTCTTCAGTGGCTTCTTTTTTAATGCACTGAAATGTATCCTTATCTCTAGCACAGGCTTGCAAGCAACAGGAAGGAAACAGCACTTGACCACGTCATGGCAAATTAGAACATGCAAAGAACTGCACTTTACAATAGTAGAAAAACAGAAGCGCAACTAAAGAGTGAAAACATTTTCACAGTGAGGGTGAAATACTTAAAAAGTACCTTCCAAAGATGCTTGCCTATTTTGAACAAAAGTAAAAGGAAAATGTTAATTTAGAAGTTTATCTTAATTTTATTAAATATTGTATCATATGGTAATTGTCATTAATGAGAATGAAAAGACAAAGATATAAAAATATATTACACTAAGTAACATCTAAGTTCTTTGAAACGGCATTTAAAATTTAATTTTAAAGAGACAAGTTCAGGAATGAAGCTGAGCTGGTAAATGAGTTTCCCTGAAAACTTAAATCTAGCTAGCATGTGCTAGCCAAATCATATACTTGGTTTCCTAATTTCAGTAAAGCGAATCCCCTATATATATTGTGCACTCTGGGGGTGATCATGGATTACACCTTGATTTCCCTAACTAAATATCAAAATAAAGGTTAATAATTCAATTCAGGTGATATTTCTACTGACTAAATCTAACCCAGCAGTTTCCCACACTCATCTACCCCACCCTTTTTAATTACAAGTTTACTCCAACATTGGGTTAACATTTTTAGAACATTCAGGTAGTTTTTGAGCAATGCACCATATCTAAAGGAAAAAAATAAAATGCCTTGACCTGAACTGATCACAGACAGAGATATAAACATAAGACATACACTAACCTTAGACAAACGTTACAATCTTTTCCTTTAATCACCCAATCCAATTCTTCTTTATTGCTTGCTTCCTTATGGTCCTACAAGAACTACAGTATTTCTTGCCTCCCTTCTCAACTTGTTATTCCCATTCCAGGAATACCTGCTCCAATTGTCACCATCCATTCACATCTGTTCCATTCTTCAATGCACAACTGAAGTACCATTTCTTTCACAAAGCTTCCTAACCTCCATGCCTTGGCCTATATGGACCTTCAAAAACATAGCGATTAACTGCCCATGCCACAAAGCTAGTATTAACTGTACATTGTCTCACATTTGAAAATTATGTCCCCCTGATTTAAAGGAATAAATGTTTGAGTGTCTATTATTTGCAAAGCAATGTGCCAGGTGCCAAGATAATTAGAGCAAAACATCTGTGGACTCTCTGGGTAAGTAACCATTGTCTAAAATTTCTTCTGAATTGTATACCTGAAACCTATATAATTTTATTAAACAATGTCACACTAATAAATTCAATAAAAAATAAAAATAAACTAAAGTTCTTCTGTACCTACCAAAACTGTGTTGCCCATAGTAATAATAAAAATTGTACTAATGATATAGTTTTAAAAATCTATCATTAGATATCTAAGCTATTTTTACATATATTCTTTATAAACAATGACTGTAGTACTTTTGATAATGAGGAAGTCATTATCCTAATACAAAAGTTTCTCTGTAAAAAGCTAAATTCCAAAAAGTACTCCCAAATCCATTTGTTCGCAAATACAAAGTGACACTACACTAATGACAAATGTTAACACATCTATGTAAAGTTTCACTTTCTTTTCCACTGCAATCTCGTACCTTTTCTTACTGGCAATTACACACTGCTACTGTGCTTTGATGATTTTTTTAAAATCTCAAAAATAAGGATAAGCAATCAACATACACTTTACAATACTCACAATGAAGAGCAATAACCCAAAACTGAAATGACTGCCCATTTTTACTAAGCCATTTGTTAGGATACAGACAAAACCTGTAGCTTTTTGTTCATTTCTATATAGAAGTTCATAAACTGAAAATGTGTCAGTAAAGAAAAGCTCTTGAACTCTTACTGGCTTTAGCCCTTTGACACTATTTCTCCTTTTTGCTCTTCCTCTTCTGTGAATCGATGTATAACCTAAGGCACCAAAGGTGGTCCTTCGGAAGAAATTTTCTGATTTCTGATCCAGAGTTATCACCTATATATATTAGAGGTACTTATATAACAAAGTCCCTGTGTTTTAGATGAGAGTGAACACCTAGGCTGATGACTCAAATTATCATAAGTAAACTGAGTCTCTGTGCCCAAGGACTTAAAGTCCAAAATCATAAAAGAACTACAACTAGAATCCTCATCCCCTAAATCAGGACTCTGTTCATGACTACAATATATATATATAGCCTTGCCACTAAATGTACCCAAATCTTTTTTAGTAATTTGGAACACAGATTTCTAAGTAAATATTATGTCAAATGAGGGGGAAAAAAAATCTCCATCTCTAATTCAGCTCCTGATCTCCAAATCCACTCATTATACTATTAGATAAATCCAACTCAGCGTCCCTCAAAGTCAATGTGTCTAAAACATGTCTAAAACCAAACTTACATTTTATTCCTCAGCATTGCTCTTGCATGAACAAACATGGGTACTCAGATTAAAAAGATAAAAGGCCTCTGCTTTACTCTAACAAATTATAAGGTCTTCAGTAAGTTTAAAATTTGTTTAAATTTATTATTAGCTATATATAATTATTTGGGAACACTCTGCTGTGCTAACAATTTTCAAACATATTTCATTTTTAAAGTGTCACTTAGTCTTTAAAACATAGGGAAAATATAAGTGAAAATTGTTCATTCAACACAAAGACATATACAGTTAACTTATTTGCAGTTTTCAGAGTTCATCTAGTTGGGCATCTACCAAATAATAAAACCTTCCCTACCAAGTTCTCATGTCTTTTAACTGGCTCAGGACCATATTCTTATTTTTCAAGGAGATACTCCAGAGGAATGCCTCAGCCATAAGATTTCTAACTTCTAATCACCCAAAGAAGCTCCAGACTTAAGGTAAAATAGTAAAGCAAGCGAAACAAGAGCACAGACTCGAATCAGACCACTTGGGTTTGAACATTCTGTATTGTGACCTTGGACTATTAACACAGTTTCAGTCTCCTCTTTCTGCAAAATAGGTATGAGCCACAGTTTCCTCATTTTATAAAATGGGTATATCACCAAAATCTAGAGTTATGAAGATGAGATGTAAAAGGCATCTGCACAATGCCTGGCATATAAATTTTACTCAATTAAAAATTAGCCTCAATACAGTCTAAGTATAGTGCAAGAAATATTTAACAGGTAAATGCCATGTCACTGATTATTCCTTAAGTCTCACTTACACACTCCCTTGGAGTTTCCTTTACCACAGTTTATTTGCCAGAATCCAACAAATCACACCAGAGCCCGTTACCAACATAAGTATAATTCTATTCCAGTGTCTAAAAATTTGACAACTCTTTGATAAATCCAGGTGCTTCAGGGATGGGACCTCACCCTGTCTGGCAAGCTTCTCTTAACAGAGTTCCATTGTGTCTCCGTTCCAAACAAAATGAATTTACTGATTGTAAACATAAAACCCTGAGCAAGCCACACTGGTTACTACAGCCAATTCAAATGGTTAATCTGTGTTTATTATAAAAGATTTCAGGTATTATAAAATCAAAATCATTTTTTAATATTTCTAACACCTGCTCTCTTATTCTCTGCTTGAATGTAATTTAGGTTTTCTTAAAAGGGTTTTAAACACTGGGTCTAAAAGCCTATTATTCATAACTATGTTAAAAAAAAATCACTGCTACCCTTCGGAAGCTACTAGGCCACCAAACTTATGATACTCAATAGAAAATTTGATAAATAAAAAGAACCAATCAAGCAAACAAATAAGCAAGAGGGCTTTAGATAAGACAATTCTGGCCCAAAGAAGGTAAAATTCACCAGCTTAGAGCAATGAGGTGTTTGAATGACTACCTTTAACTTTCAATGAATACCTCTAACAAAGTAATTCAGGCACTCTGTGTGTGTGTGTGTGTGTGTGTGTGTATAAATATATATATTTATATATGTATATATTTATTGAGTTGGGAGTATCCAGAGAACTGGAGTTCTGCAGTAACCCCAGATGCCAAGTACCTCCTCAACATATCAACATACCTATTTTAAGAAAAGTAGGTACATTTGGAAAAAAGATTACATTAAAAGAAATACAACAGAAATTAAAGAGAATAGAATTAGAATAGTGAGAGAAGAGAAGCTATTTAAATAAGAAGCAATAAACCCATAAACTGTAATGACTGGAATTCTTGCATAATAGCCATAGTTAGGCCTTTTCATTTGTTTTCTAAAATGGTAGCATGCTTCATATTAGCTCGCAGCAGAAATGAAAATAATAAATCAGTGGTATCAAAATAAAATTCTATACAATCTCCCAAGGGCCTGCCTATTCTAAAAGTATAGATTCACACAATTTTAAATGAGAAAAGATCTAAGAATTAC